AAAAAAGACCTTTAGTTTAAAAATATGAACTTACTGAATATATAGACATCTGAGATATAACATTAGTTTCAGTTTAGTCTGCCCTTTACAGCACAACCGAGGACGCGGAATTTGGTTCGCCCTTTACAGCACAACCGAGGACGCGTGTGTATAGCCCGATTTCAGACAAAAAGTTGGACAGTATTTCTGATACACTCGTGGCGGGAATTTGGCCCGCGCTATACAGCATAACCGAGGACTGGCTCAGAATAGCGTCAAATTTCACCACCTAACTTGAAATGGGCCCCTTTATGCATTCCACTGCTTATGTCAACCGAGGACGTCCTCGGTTGGAGGTGTGTCCTCGGTTAGTGGGTTTCGGGCGGGTGTGTGTCCTCGGTTAGAATGCGTGCACAAGAGCACACACACACACACACACACACACACACACATGCCCCTTACTCTCTTCCCAAACTTGCAGTATGTAAATATCTTATTTGGAATGTTGAATGGAATGTTTTAGTGTTATTGTCCCTCAAAAGAGGGCACCACAGACTGACATTGCCCACCAGCACAGTGTTTTCATGGAATCAAGAGTGTATGTTCTGTGTTATTGCCAATAAACATGGTTTTGAGTTTTTCTTACTCATATTTTGTACTAAGACATTTACCTTTCATCAGAAATTACAGACATTTATGCTGTCACAAGTAAATGCTATTTTTCTTTCGTGTTCAGGCACAGTGTAGTTATGATGAAGTTATTCAATTTTCTTGGTCTGTACATGTATAAAGCCATCACCTGCATCATTCTGTAGCTGTCACTGTGTCTGTGCGCTTTACATTGTTAATGCTAAATATGGGAAATCATATAACTAATTTATTATCCTCATACTTACTGATGTGATTTTTAGCTCCAAAGCACAGGACAAGATAAAAAAGGGGCATTATTGAACCATTTTACTTTAAATTAATATATTAATTTTTTTTTTTTTTGTGAACTTTTCATTTTTCATACATTGACATTTTCAAGGTGTCTTTGCACCTACATATGCGTGAACCCTGTACCATCTACCTTTCCAGAATCTCCAAGTTAACAATGGTAACTAATTAAGTATTGGTGTTGATTGTTGCTTTGTGAGATACAAGACATTGACATCAAGTCTGTTAATGAGTTGTCACATTAACACCTCTAAATAAGCAAACCATAGGCCAAAAATATAATTATATGTAATAGTTGTATAACATTTTTCAAACCCAGGGGCGCCCAAGTTATTTGGTTCTTTGGGGCATTTTCGTGAATCCCTTTCTAAACCAGAATCAGTGTACTGTAAAAATAATTTACCACATGCTGAAAATACCCAATAGTTTTAAATTTTGCTTCAAGGCTGTCTTAGTCCTTGTTTAATACGGAAAAAAAATTTGAATACATCCAGTGTTTCATCTGGGTTCTGAAAACTCAGGGTTAGTGGGCCCCCTGTTTAGAAATTTTGGGGGACACAGCAGCTTTCATCAACCTCCTTTAAAGGTAAATAAAATTTAAAAGAAAAGACAATTACAAAGGTGCAGATTCAGTTTCATAAAGATTTTAAGCCATAGAGGCATAACATTTGTTCTGTGACAGAGTGTGTTTTAATGTTCTATGAAACCGTTTCTTGTTTTTATAGCTCAGTATTGTTCAAATCAGTTAAATCTTAAGGCAGGCACGGAAGAAAGCAGTTACCAGGCCCAGCTGGCATGTTAGATGATGTCTGTGCAGTATATACAGATGTATGGGAGTTCATTGGGAATAGCTGTAATGCTGTGCAGTTATTAAAAAATTGTTAAATATTTCGAACATAGCAGCTGTGGCACAGATTAATGAAATGTATTTTATGTACAGTTGAGAATTGGATATTACTCAACTTTTTATAAGTATAGTTGTACTCATGTACAAGGGAACAAATAATAATCCTTACTCCATTTTTTTTTCTTTTTTACCGAATGGATCTAAGCGTGCCTAGTCTAGGTCAGATATACTGTTCATATGGTCATATTGACTATTCCTCAATGGGTTATCTGGTGTAGTTCTGGATTTCTTAATACCCACTATCTCACGTAAATCCACCATAATTTTTCCTTCAAAATGTTGATGTTTGTCTGTGTGTATGTACCAGGAAATCCTTAGTACTACAAAGTTTGCAAAGGATACCCAAGCTGCTGTTCTTGTCATCTGGCAACAACTAAATCAGATGTATTCAGACATTTGTTTTATCATTCCAAGCCAGTAAAAATGCTGTTTCCATCATGACAGCTGTTTAAAGCATCTTTTCTAAAGGTTTCCAGTAAGACCAACTGTTTAGTAACTTCAAAGTTGTCAGTACATAGATCAGTGAATTGCTATCTCATTCTGTTATCACTGTAAAAGAATTTCCAAACAAGTAATCTAAGAATCCGTCTATAATAGCCCATAAGAAATTGTGAATTGGGTAATTTGACAAATTGTCAAAGACCCCCATTTATATAAATAAGCTATAACTTTATCTTCACTATTCTGTTTTTGACCTCAAAAATTAAAACACTGAGTTAGAACAATAAAATGCATGTAAGAGTGAATGAGGCTGATAACCGGTAGAATGAATGAACTTTAAATTGCTTTATCGTACAAATGACAGCTGGACAGTTATCTGGGGAAAGCTTTCGTGTCAGCTAAATAATGCGGGATTATCCCTTAATATTACAGGATTTTCAGTTCCATTTTGATATTTTTTCTTATGGTTTAAGTGCAATGAGAAATTGCAAGCTATGTTTTAAGGATTTTCAGTCTTAACAGTTTCCACACACGATAAACCAATTAAAAGATCCATATCATTATTGAGGAAGGAAGTCAGTTTCTAGCATAATTTGTTAACTGTGTGAGATAGCAACTGACAATAAATATTTTGGGATTGTTAAGGAACAGTCTTTCAACACTTAAGTTCAGTCTAATAACACTCTAGGTATGTGATTAGGCATTGTGTTCCATACAGGGTACATGCAACCCTGGATACAGAAATCACTTGAAGAAAAGTCGTTCTTGATACAAACTGAATGACACCTCTAAGAATAGAAGCTGCATTCAGAACCAAAGCTAACAATGGACGTACAGATCCCCAGATCAAATATGGCCCATCAACTTGAAAGCTTACTGCTTTATCCGTTGGGGAATCTGTTCAGTGTCTAGTAAGGGATTATACGGCATCACTTTCAAGTGGGTTGGTTATATTTGATCTGCAGATCAGTTAGGGACTGTTCACATGGAAAGTCTATTTTCTAAAAATCTATTTTCTATTCCCGGTATCTTGTGATCACGGTCTGTGCCCTGAATATCCCGCGGCGTAATTACTGGCAGCGCGAGCCAGTTACTTCCGTGATCACAAGATACCGCAAATAGAAAATAGATTTTTAGAAAATAGACTTTCCATGTGAACAGTCCCTTAGGCTACGGATCATTAGTTGTGAATGTGGCCTATGAAGCTGCCTAACTGACAGCATCAAAAATATTCACAAAAAATGTTCTTTGCATGGCTGGAAATTGTTTTCATTTCTTTTTTTTAAGAGTAACAATGTGAAATTTCCATATCTTATTATTTGTTTGGAATTTTATGGCTGTAACGATGTTTGACATGTCCTTAAGGGACCTTGCAAAACTAGTAACTTGATCTCATGTGCAATGTGCAATGTTTCATTTTTTTCACTAAATTAAATGTGACCAGTTTTTACATGGTTTAACATGAAGTTGACATAAATGTCACATAACATCAAACTGGCAGATGTATGTCAGTCTGTTAGACCCCGGTTATGTATGAATGACATGGCAAAGACTTCATTCTTACACAATTTCAAGTTCAGGCCTACCTAACTACCAGACTCGGCACCGATTGATCCTGAATTCACCAGTAGATCAGACCACACTACCCGTTTTCAAGGTGTGTCAGATCGCATTACACAGTATCATACCCTGAACAAATTTTGAGTGGTGATGCAATGTTTTTCAACCCCGCTGGGAATCGTCACTATCACATAGTGTACTAGGCAAGAGGGTGTCGCGTCTGATACTGTGAAATGGGTACTGATACACACCTTGAAAACGGGTAGTGTGGTCTGATCTACCGGTGAATTCAGGATCATTCGGTGCCGAGTCTGGTAGTTGGGTAGGCCTGAAGTTGGAAGAATATCTCCCAGGTAGCTAATCCACTTGCACACTGCAATGTTTCAGACTATATGACCAGTATTGGGGCCCAGGTGTACATCTACTTCTACCTGAACATCGACGCATACAGAGTGTCAGCGGAACAACAGATCTCTGCCGCACGGGAGTCGACGCAAGAAGACGAGGAGAGTACCGAGGCCATCTACGAGATGTTGCAAAGCGCTGCTCTCAGTCTGTATAACCAGTATCTGTCAGAAAAGGTACGTCTCAGAACACTGCACACTTTCCTATACATACAACACCCAAGGTAAAGCAGTGTGAATGCAACACTTTCTTGGTTTTGAGGTGGTAAAAGGGAGTCCCAGGGAGGGTCTGTTTAATTTCAGTGTAAATCCATATACATATTGATTTCTTACATCTTTCTAGTTGTTTTTTTCTCAATGTTATATTCCTGGCCACGTAGAGAATTACTTTGGGTGAGGGTCTGTTATGGAGAACACCTACTTTGCTTATTTTCCTGAATACTGTGTTTCAGGCCACCCAGAGAATTACTCTGGATGAGGCTCTGATACGGAGAACGCCTATTTTCTTCTCAATATTGTATTCCAGGCCACCCAGAGAATTACTCTGGATGAGACTCTGATACGGAGAACGCCTATTTTCTTCTCAATATTGTATTCCAGGCCACCCAGAGAATAACTCTAGATGAGGCTTTATTACGGAGAACACTTCACAAGATCAAACAGAGACCACCACATGCAGATTGTTTTGAAGAAGTTCGATGCAAGGTAAGACAATGCTGCAAGGAGAGGTACAGTACCTTATAACAATTATACTTATATATTTTGTGAACAGTGAATATGATTTGAAGTGGACAAAGGCATGCCGGTTGAAAGAGGTTGTAAAGACGGAAAAAGAACCACTGTCCCCTAGAAAGGAGATATGGGGGGGGGGGGGAATTAATCCCCTTGAATTAAGACATATTAGATAAATTAGTCTGTTGTCGTTCTGGAAGAGACAATGGCCTTTTCTTTCTCAAAATAGTAAATAACATGGGGGAAAATACTCTTAAATTAGTTTTTCTTAGAGTCAAAGGACTGCACATTTTATTTTAATCAAAATGCCAAGTCTAATTAGGGACAGATTGGTGAAAAGATGTAAAAGGCAGGTATATTTTGTCAAATTTAGCCATCTTTTGCATTTGGAAAAACTTATATACGTCAACGTAATAGACTTATCCTGAGAAAGTACAAATGTTGATAAAATAATAATTGTTCTCTGCGTTCAGGTTTGCGAGATACTGGAGGGAGACAACTATTACAAAGCCTTCAAGAAGAGCACAATCTATGTCAAACTGCTGGCCGAGCTGGACCTGCTTAACAAGGACGTGGAAGTGCCAGAGGCAGACGAACCTCCAGAAGCCACCATCTTGAACGATGAATTCCACTTGGAGGCCACGGTGATCAGCAGCGGAGTGATGAAGGAGGAGAAAGGGAACAAGTCGTATGCTGTGTATTTTATTAGAGTGATGAAGAGGGAGAGGACAGACGGTGAACCTGAGATATGGGACTGTTACAGGAGATACAGCGACTTCCACGACCTCCATATGACTATCACTGATAAGGTGGGCAATACCTTGATTGTTATCATATATATTTATTAATTTGCTTGTTTTTATATTATTATTATTATTATTATTATTATTATTATCATTATTATTTTGATTGGATTGATGATGATGCAACAAGACTTTTATGATATGCATATGTTGAGTGGATGTAAGTTTAGTGTGAACACCTTTTATGATAAGAATTAAAAATTAGACAAAAGAAAAAGTTAACTTTTTCTTCTTTTTTCAAGCCCAGAGCTTGGAGGGGGGGGTGTTGAATGAACTGCCTTTTTTCTGTGAAAAAACCTGCTCTAGATTACATTTGATTTAGGTACTGTAACAGAAAGTTTTCATGATTCAAGGGCGGATCCAGAGATATTTTCTGACAGTCTTCCAAATTATCTTTGTTGATCCATCCTCCATTTTTGACCGTCTTCTGACAGAAAATATTAGATGCCCGACAATGTAAACTTGAAAATCTGACCGTCTTCCGAAAGACCCAGAAGACGGCCTAAATCGCCCCTGTGATTAAAGGTTCAGTTTTTCAGAAAACGCCCCCCCCCTTTTATAATTGCTGGCTACATGCCAGTATCTGTAGTATGATTTTCAATATTCATTTCCTTCTTTTGTAGTATCCATCTCTTGCTACCCTTAATTTTCCCAGTAAGAAGCTTATTGACAACTTGAAGGAAGAATTCTTGGAAAAGAGGAAGAAGGAACTGGATCATTATTTACAGGTGCTCGTTTTTCACTTTAGTACTTCACACTTGAGTTCTTTAGCACTTTTATAAGACCCTAACAGGAATTGACTCGTTGAACATCCAAAGTACAGGCCTAAAACGTGCTTTAAAAACCATATATATATATATATATATATATATATATATATATATATATATATATATTATGCTTACATGCATTTTTCCTATTTTTCACATTGCGCAAATTTGTCATTTTAACTATGGTTACAGTATAATCATCAGAAAGTCAGTTTGAAGGACACTAACAAAAATGCTGATTCAAAAATAAATTGTCCAAGAGTATCCAAGAAATCAAATTTTGGTCGTTTTTATCATAAAATTATGCACTGATAAGCTGTTCAATTTAACTCTGAGAATGCCAGCACGTACTTAATACCCCTCCCTGCACTCAGTGTCTTGTAGTTTTTGTGTCTTAAAGTATCATATAAATGTTTTAATAGCAAAGTTTTCCTAATATCATGAGAAAAGCACGGAGCACTTTGTGACCTGAAGTGACTGAGCATGTGTGTTTTTTGTGTGGGAGCAGGTCTGAAGTGAACCTAAAGTTTCATGATTAGATACTTGTGGGTTATACAGGGCCAGGTTATGTGATGCCAGGACAAGTATCCAGTGTGGCAGGTGCCAGTGTGGGGTGAAATCAAGGGGATGGAACTCCCAAGGCAAAAGCAATTTGAGTTTATTGTTATTCATGACGTTTTGTCTGCTTATTTCCTACAAATGAAGTTCTTACCAAACGTCCTAGAATTACCCACTATTTCTGATCATTTCCTGCTTTTGCACGTCTGATAAAATAACGGTATTTCTGACTATTTCTGACTACTACTGAATTCTGATTATATATATCAAAACATGATGAACATTTGTATTACACTGGATCCCTCAGGTGGACTTATCCACTCCTGTGTTACGTAGCTGATCTTAGTGAGCAAGTTTATTGGAATGTATTACTTAAAATGAAGCTAAAACAATTCACTTGTTCATCATAGAGACCATTCCTGCACTAAATTGCTATCAATTAAAGCAGCTTAGATGTCTTGCACACCCACTGAAGCTGTTAGAGGGTTATTAACTATAATCATTTAGCAGCTTCAGTAGGCATGCCAGACATAAGCCATTTAAGCTAAAAGCAATTTAGCGAGATACCCCTGGGAGCTGGGTCAATCCAGTTAGATCAATCTAGGCATGGGAACCCAGTCATAAACACCAATCTACTATTAAGGCTTCATTCACATGCAATGTCTATTTTCTAAATTCTATTTTCTATTTGCGGTATGTCTTATGTTCACAGTCTGTGCCCTGAATATCCCGCGGCGTAATTACTGGCAGCGCGAGCCAGTTACTATAAGTTACTATAAGTAACTGGCTCGCGCTGCCAGTAATTACGCGGCGGGATATTCAGGGCACAGACCGTGATCATAAGATAGCGCGAATAGAAAATAGATTTTTAGAAAATAGACATTCCATGTGAACGAAGCCTAAGATTACTTTGAACACCTTTAAACAGTTTTGATAATGTTCTTTACAATATTGATGTCTGTTTAATCCATCTTGGAAGTAATGAACACTAGATCATGGTGATTCATTGAATATAACAGTTTTTTAAAGCCTTGCAATGTCAGTTATTTCAGGTATATGTATGTACTGACAGTCCAAGGTTCTAGAATCTTAACGGCTCTGGTTGCGGACTAAACCAAAACCCAATTTGAAATTGAAGATCATTTCAGCAAAGTCTGATGTAATATAAGCCCAGTCAGGGCACCTAATTTAAAACATACTATGTCCAAACTTGTTGAAAATGTGTCAGTGTGGGTCACTTTGTCTGGGCATTTCTGATCATTTCTGACAGTTTGACAGTTGTCCCCATGCATCTAGTCGAATGGAGCCGAGATTAAATTACTGTGCCCCTGCAGGGACGACGTGTCTGGTTGAATGATTTAGTTACTTTGCCCCTGCAGGGACAATGGGTAGGGAGGTGTGTGAGAGGCAGAGAGACCATTACAGGATTAAGCGGTCTTCCTTTCATGTAGGGTCCGTCATATTTGAGCCTTGGACCAGTAGATACTCGGATCTTTTATTCTGAATGGTCCCATACTCAGTACTGGCCTCTGTTAAATCTGACCATTAATCCCCCCTTGCCCCACTCCTCCCCCCCCCCGCCCCCAC